CTGACCCTGACCTTAGCACTGACCCTGACCTTAGCACTGACCCTGACCTTAGCACTGACCCTGACCTTAGCACTGACCCTGACCATAGCCTGCTTTTGCACAGTTGAACGGTTTTACATTCTTTACGATCAGTTTGCCTTGGCTCCCAACTTTAGTGTCTGGCTACCACCAGTGTCTTTTCTTGATCAACCAGTTGCCTTAGGATCATCTGCTGTTGCCATGGAGGCGTAGGCACTACACTCATTATCTCAGGCTGCGTGAGCAGAAACCAGACACCAGAGTGGGAAACTGTGAGAGTTATCTTGGGAGCCATACAAACCATAGGTGTGGCTTCAAAAACCTTTGAAATGTTTTCAGGAAAACTCAATCAGAAAATAATTTATGATTGTTATTTGTTTTTTTAATCAAAATCAATCAAAGCCTTTTCAAAAATATCGCAGGCAGGCGAGAATTCTACCACTGAGCCACCAATGCTTGTTAATACTTACATACTAATTAAGTTAATACTAATGAATTGGTTAATGCTAGCTCCAGCTTCGTCCTGTAGGTTCTCAGTCATTTGGGTCAGTTTATCCTCAGAAGTTCAGAAGTTGGCCACTGGTTTCTTCAAGATGTTTAACTTCTGGTCCAAGAAGGTTTTTAGTTCTAACTGACTGGTACCAGGTAACCCTGGTATTTAGGGCACATGACCTGAGAGCTGTTTGGTCGACCTGAAACTTGGGTCTTGGTACACTGACACTAGAAATGCAAATGCCCTAGCCATGGAACTATGAGGAAGTGAATTAAAGAGTCGTAAAGTGTCGAGCACATTGCATTTGGGGAGAAAAGAAGCAGTTAGGAAGTGATGTCGAGCACATTTCATTTGGGGAGAAAAGAAGCAGTTAAACAGAGTTGTGAAAATGTTTGGTGAGCAGATGTTGAGCCTGTTGACATCATTCAGAACTATTATGTTTTTAAATGGTCAAGTGTGGATCGCAGTAAAACGGTGTAATGGGTATTGATATTATCAATATTATAATTGATATTATTAGGTGTAGGACTGTAAAAAGATCCAGCCTAGATATAGTTCCGTGTGTGTGTGTTTTTGTTTTCCTTGTCTCACCCTCCAAACACGCTGGATGACCAAAGGGTTCACTCTGGGTATCGGTCTTAGCACCTGGGTGTGTTTGTTCCATAGAGTGGTGGGGTGGGGGGGGGTTGCCGGTATGACAACAAACTAACATGCCCACCTACAACCGAACCACCCGAGTGTAGTTCGCTACATTGCACATCCCCCCAGGGAACTGTTTTGGACCTCTGAGTGGAACTTTCTTTCATCTTACTAGTGTGGATGACCTCCCGGGTGTTGAGATAATCCAGAAATGGCACCACCAATCCTTGGCCAAGGTAGATCTTCACAAGAGTCATGGCCACATCCTGACGACTCTCCACTGTTGTCACCTCCTCCAACATGGTCAAAGCACTGACGTCCTCTACCTGGTGACAAATCAGCAAATCTGAAGTAAAGACCACTTGACTGATTGTACTCTCAGCCGCGCATAATCCTTCACTCCTTAATCTAATCTATTTTAATCCAAGGTCACATCCAGAGATGGATGTTACAAGACGGAACAAACACTGGCTGCTCAGATAGGTGAATTTACCAAAACACTTTACATTGACTGTTGTATTGACAAATTGGTGTTTATTTAATTTACACCGTCTTCCAACTCCAGTTATTTCTCTCTATGGATCACCTGTAACTGCAACAATAAAAAGAAGAAGAGACCTACACACAGCTGGACACACTGTACAATAAAATAACACAGAACAGTCACGCTATTTCAATAACAAAATATATTCCCCTTTGTACCACTAGAGGTAGCCAAAGTACCACAAGTAGCAGGCGAACCAAAGTTTGAGTACCAGTGCTTTAAAACACTGCCACCTGTTTATTTACATACAAGTCCTCCTTAATGAAGCAGCTCTAAAACACATGAAGACCAAACACACACACACACACACACAGAGGAGTGAGTTGCTGACCTCTGTAGGAGAGGTGACAGACCCTACCAGAAGGTCAATCAGAGGCTGGTAGTAGGTGGAGGGCAGGATTTGATCTTCCACTAAACGGACCTTCAGACGTAATGCCCCCAGTTTACCACTGTGGGCAGGGCACATATATCAAAGAGAAGAAGAAAGGTTATGGTCACATGATCAGAAGCCAATGGCTATTTACTGTTTACAACCATGACTTCAAATCAATACCAAACCTTATTTTCCAAACTGTCATTTCTACAGAAGAGACACTTAGCTTCAAGTGTTGTTATAGCTAACGCATCTCTTCATCACCATCAGTCAGAGAATCGAGCATAATGAAGGCTAGATAAGAACACTGAAGAAGTCAAGATTTTCTTATTCTTATTCTTATTCTTATTCTTATTCTTATTCTTATTCTTATTCTTTAGGGGCAGTGGTGGTTAGGGTTTCAGGTTCGAGTCCACCAGCTGCTAAGTTACCACTGAGGAGCAAGGCACCGTCCCCACACACTGCTTCCATGTTTTTGACTTCATGACTTCTATTATGTCTCTTTAACCAACTTTTTTTATGACTGGGATAAGTCTTTTATCTCAGATGCTGCAGTTTTTATTTCAGTGGCTGAAAAAATAAATTCATTTCCAGCTTCATTTGAATTGAATTCATTATTTGTTACAGTCTTGAGGCAAAATGTGTTCCTCAGCTCTAACACTCACAAAGGTAAAATAGTGAACAAACAAGCACGCCCATAATCCTCACCCAGGATCAGCCTCTCTGTTTCCTAAAGGCAGCAAACGAAACCAGCCTTCCAGGAAAGGAGTTTGTTGTAAATGAGCAAACGGGAATTCCACCTGAGGCAGCAAAGAGTCACCAAGAGTTAGACAAAAACATAGACTCTCTTTGTCACTTCACATTTGAAATGAATTCTTAAAAGTTTGAATCTGTTTCAACCGTTCATCAGATTATTAACAACTAGCTGGTTAGCATGAATCAACAATAACCTAGTAGAGTGTCAATAATAATGTGTGTATTGACTGTGTATTAGAGCAGCGATCAGTGGGTAGACTGAGGTACCATGGACTGAGTGCCCTCACCTTGCCCAGGAAGTCATTCTTGCCCACCATGTCCCAGTCCCAGACCTCCACAGTGACGGTTCCTTCCACACTCAGGTCCCCTGGGTCCAGGGCCAGCTCCAGGGTCTCCCCCCAGTGAGGGAAACGGGTTTTCTTGATAATCTTAATCCAGGTTTTGGAGCTGGTAAGAACTCTACTAGGTAATAGTAATCAGTGACTAGTACAGGTCTGTGTACAGTAGTCACAGAGTACTCTCACATTTCAGACATGAATCACTTTCATCAACCATGTTTGGTAGAACTTGTGTCATGGAAACTAACTGGTCCCAGGATCAGGTTTGTCTGATCCAAGCCTGAACTGGGCAGGTGTGTTGGGGCTGTTCAACACAGTTACCTCCACTAATGCAACTCTTTTTTAGAGTGAGTTCAAGTAGAGAATAGATTTGAACCGAGGACCTCTCCAATGTTTGCATATAACACGACAAAAAGGAGTGAGAAGAGCTACCGTAGCTAACCTGTTGATTAGCCCCCACTCCGAGTCTTAGTGTAAACGTATTATACGCTTCATATGTTTCAACACATGTTTCTTCAAATAGCCCTTTAGCAAACATCAAACATTCCTTTCATGTCTATGTATTCCAAAGAGTTTAACCCTAAAGACTGAATCATGGAGCACACCAACTACTACGAACACTGAACACTCGTGCACATGGAGCTCACCGAGGTCTCGGCACCGTGGTGGTTAAAAAGAACTTTGGCAAATGGATCAGACGTCCCCGAAATGTCTCTCGGAGCCAAGTCCCTGTTGGTTTCACACCAGAAAGAGAAGAAAAGATGACAGAACTGATCAATAAAACAAACACAGTCCAGTCTGAACAGTCCACACTGAATAGTCAGCCTGAACAGTTAACCTGAACAGTCAGCCTGACCAGTCCACACTGAACATTCAGCCTGAACAGTCCACCCTGAACAGTCAGTCAGAACAGTCCACACTGAACGGTCAGCCTGAACAGTCAACCTGAACAGTCAGCCTGAACAGTCCACCCTGAACAGTAAGCCTAAACAGTCAGCCTGAACAGTCAACCTGAACAGTCAGTCAGAACAGTCCACACTGAACATTCAGCCTGAACAGTCAGTCTGAACAGTTAACCTGAACGGTCAGTCTGAACAGTTAACCTGAACGGTCAGTCTGAACAGTCAGCCTGACCAGTCCACACTGAACAGTCAGCCTGAACAGTTAACCTGAACGGTCAGTCTGAACAGTCAACCCTGAACAGTAAGCCTGAACAGTCAGTCTGAACAGTCCACACGGAACAGTCAGCCTGACCAGTCCACACTGAACATTCAGCCTGAACAGTCCACACGGAACAGTCAGCCTGACCAGTCCACACTGAACGGTCAGCCTGAACAGTCCACCCTGAACAGTCAGTCTGAACAGTCCATACTGAACAGTCAGTCTGAACAGTTAACCTGAACAGTCAGCCTGACCAGTCCACACTGAACGGTCAGCCTGAACAGTTAACCTGAACGGTCAGTCTGAACAGTTAACCTGAACAGTCAGTCAGAACAGTCAGCCTGACCAGTCCACACTGAACATTCAGCCTGAACAGTCCACACTGAATAGTCAGCCTGAACAGTTAGCCTGAACAGTCAGGCTGAACAGTCCACACGGAACAGTCAGCCTGAACAGTTAACCTGAACAGTCAGCCTGAACAGTCCACCCTGAACAGTCAGCCTGACCAGTCCACACTGAACGGTCAGCCTGAACAGTCAGCCTGACCAGTCCACACTGAACGGTCAGCCTGAACAGTCAGCCTGAACAGTTAACCTGAACAGTCAGACAAGAGCTGTACTTAACCGTGAATGTGTGCAACTTTGGCCCCGTGTTCTGTGCTTTGGCCCACCATTACCGCCGTTTGCACTCACGCTAGCCTTAGGATACACGTTTTACTGGGCAGTCGCACATGGGCGGGTAGAACGACCCAAGTGTGAGTGCATCCTAAAGCTGTTGTTCACCTGCTCAGATTCATCCAATCATTCTGAATGAAACGGTGTCGAGTTCTGAGTGACGTGTCTGTTAGTGCCTGTTCTGACAGTGAGACACAGTGACAGTGTGGAGGTCCGTGGACCGAGGGTTTAGCACACATGAAGACATACTCTAATAGTAGAGCTATAGACTGTGTATGGGGGGTGAAGTTCCCCTAGTGGTGAGTGAGTTACCTGGCCTCGATGACCTGACATCTCAGACTGTTTTTGTCTTTGAGGAGTTCCAGCCTCAGATGGATCTCTCCCTGGACCTCCTCATCAGGGTCCACCTTGGAGAGGTTCAGCCAGCTGTCTACACCTGTACAATGTTAGCAGTCGAAGAGAATTAACACTAGTAACTAGTAACACTAGTAACCATGTTCTGTAATATCACAATATGTATTAGGCAAATAAGTGAAATGAGAAATATACTAAGTATCACACCACGTGCAGTACTGTCTGAGTACTGTCGACTCTACTGGTTGGTTTTCTGTCTTTATTTCTTGTATTTATACTTTACTTTTTTATTTTTGAATTATTCATTAATCTGATGTTGATCTTTTTTTAACCATGTTTCATTAATGCGAGTGCACAATCAAACAGTGTAAATCATGATAGTATTATTCAAGATTATAAATTGACTGATGAATGTGGTGAGGGTTTCACAGTAAGAACTGTCTTAAAGTTAAAAGCTCAGAGGAGCTGACGGGAGTCGACACCATGTGTCTGCAGCACCAAGTTTTCAACAACAATAACCTAAAATTCCAAGTGTAAAAATGTCTTCTTGTTTTAGTCGTTGAAGTTGGACATGAAGTTGGACATGAAGTGGTCATGAGTTTATAGCAGAGACAACAGGTGATGACATCACACCTTCTGGTTTTCATTGAGCTTCAAGACGCAGGTGAATGTTTGTAAATATATTTTGTGTTATTGACATGTACAGACAGTGAAACAAACTTCTGAGTGAGTTCTGAGCTCACCACGGCACACACATCCAAATGTGATATTTTACACATCACCAGATTCTGTCAGCAGGGGGCAGCTTAACTGCCCGGGGAACAGTGTGTGGGTAATTTGGTAGCTTGTGGATTCGAACCTGAAACCTTCTGGATCCATGTCTACTTACTTAACCGCCAGGTCACCACTGATTTATTAGAGATTTGTTAGAGTTGTTAAAATCATACTGAACACTTAAGATTTCTAATGTTGATGGACAGTGCACCACAGCTAACAGCTAACAGCTAACAGCTGAAGCTAAATAACACATCTTATCAAATCAGTTTCAACCATGAAGAGACTGAAAGAAGATGATTGACATTCACAAAACTTAGGAGGTATGTATATAGTTGCAGTATATTTTATTCCTTTCTTCTTCTATCTCATTTGTGTTTCATTTTTAGGAAATCCACACAGAGGCAAGGTCATGTGAAGGTCATGTGAAGGTCATGTGAAGGTCAATCAGTGAAGATTCTCATGCAGGGTCATAAATCTCCTGAGACTAGAGCCCAGTTACAACATAATAACAACTGATCTTTAAACACAGACAATTAACATATGCTATTAGTGAGAGTGAATGCTACGTAGCGCCCCCTACTGTAGATAAAAGACTGAAACAGACTCAAATGGACCAATGAGTGATAAATGTAAGCAAAATCCATTTGACTGTGTGGTGGTGACAGATTCCCAGAGTGTGTGTCTAAAAAAAGGATTTCCACTCTATTGCTACAACCTATGACCAGTCCATCTTTGACCCCTGACCTCTGTCAGACTGCTGCAGTCCGTTTCTACCTTTAGCTTGAGATCCGATGGCGTCTTTGCTCAGTGTAATCTTTCCAATGACATCATCATGGCTGTGGAAACAGATAAAGAATACCATTAAGAAGATTGATGGGAGAATGATTGAGGAGTGACGAATAAAGACGCTGTTGTGACAAACCAAAAAACTTTTATTCAAAGCTTGGAATTTTTACTTCCCAGAATTCACTCCGGCTGTCAAACTACTAAGTTTAAATTTGATTTATAACAGTGCAGCTGTGCATTAATCATTATTAATCATTGATTAAATATTGGATTAATCATCATTAAGCATTAGTTTTCTGTTCATCACTGGAACAGACAGTCACAACAACAGCAGGTAGAGGTCAGTATTTCTCATCTGTTTTCTATTTTTCAACTTCAGTCCAGTTGTTGTCCTCAACAGTTTAGCAGTCTACAGATCAACAGTCATTCATTTTCACAGTCCTGGTTTTCACAAACTGAACTGAACTGAAACTGAACAAGTGATTGATTCTACAGCTCATCCAGGTGAACAACAGTGAGTGAAGGATCTACCCTATAGTGTCTTCGTCCATCACATGAAAGGAGAGTGAATGGAAACCCATTGGGAGGTGCAGTGTGTACTCTTCACCCCAGAAAGGATTGAGGTTCTTCCACACCGTGGCAGTCCTGAAGACAGAGAGATCTGTTCAACATCGGCAGACCACAGAACCTCCAACATATCTGCTACAACACAGAGTAAGAAATATCATTATATTTATATTTACATGTATTCACCCACTGAGATTAAAGAGCTAAGATTGGTGAACTGATTTAAGCCAGAAGTAACACTGGTTTGTTTTGGAGGAAAAATAGAACTTTATTCATCCCCGAAAAGAAATGATTCAGTGGAAAAGTTCATCCATGTTTTTGTGAACAGCAAGATGCAACATTCCCAGTATTCCCTCTGATGTCCGCTCAGCACCGTTAACTTATCCATTTCCCATGAGGACAAATGTGAGGACAGGTCCACGTTGACTCTTCTTGTCACACCTGTTTAACAGACCTGATCTGAAACAACGGCTTTTATGAACTTTCTGATCCATCAGTCACACCTCACTTACAGCCTCTACCTTTAAACGGTAATGATCCAGACCTCACGTTTCCATGGCAACTGTTGAGCAGTATGTGGGAGGTATGTCTGCTGACACATACTGCCATTCTGACATCCATCCATCCATCCATCCATCCATCTTCAACCGCTTATCCGGGGCCGGGTCGCGGGGGCAACAGTCTGAGCAGGGACACCCAGACTTCCCTCTCCCTCGACACTTCCTCTAGCTCTTCTGGGGGGACCCCAAGGCGTTCCCAGGCCAGCCGAGCGACATGTCTGCTGATCGCTTCAGCCATTCTGACATTACTTTATTGTTCGTACGTGGAGCAACCAAAGTTGTCCTTACTGACGACAACACACTTCCATCATGTACAGTAGCTGCTGTTCATTCAGAGCTGAGCTAAAGCTACAGCTGTGGGGTTGTACATGATAGAGGTCCAGCAGTTGAGCACAGTCGTTAGACTTCCCATAGTAGATGATTTAGAACGTCTGGTTATTACGTTCTAAATCTAGATTTTTCTTTTTCCAGATTCTGTCAGATTTCAAAGGTTCTACTTCTAGAATTGACACTCTCTAGACAGACACTCCAGAATTGGAAATAGACCAAAACCCTGTAATAACAGAGAAATAAATAATGATTTGCCTTCACCAGTCATGAACAATACCTTCTACAAGTCATCTGGCCAAATGACACTAGTTGGACTGATGAAACTGACGAACCAGTTGGACTCTTCCTCTGTCGTTCATGTCAGATGGATTGATGCTAATGATCTCCCCAAATACTTTAATGAAGAAATCTGAAGTTTTGAGCTAAATATACTATTAAAATGTTTGTCTTGTTTTTTTATAATATCTGAACACTTTAGAATCATGATGTCTGATCTGCTGAATTCTGTTTAGATTTCTGACTATTTTCTTGCTTTTACCAAGAGCTCCCTCTAATTACTGATGCAGCCTCTCCATGGTTACCTGTGGGTATTTTAAAGGCCAGACGAGTATCAGGTTCTCTGTACTGGAGGGGCTACAACCACCTTATTACACACACACACACACACACACACAGATACTGTACTGTACTCAGAGTACAAGTAGACTTTTAATGATGGTAAAAAGTACATCAACTACAAGTGCAGTTGTTTTCAACAGGACCAACTCACCTGGCCACAACTTCATTGTCAACTTTTACAATGCAGTATGGATCACTGGTTCCTGAGCTTGATGACATAAAAGACAAGAACATGATAAAGTGATTTAACGAGGCTAACACTACATTGTGACGTGTCACTGTGATTGATCAAAAAGATCATTAGAACTTCACTAACCTGACAAAATTATTACATTAATTAATAATTAATTATTTTTGAAAAACAATTGTTAAACGTGTGTTCTATTATAGCTCTGCTATGGATCTCTTCACATCCAAATGTTTACAGTACTTTTTAATTCAATCTAAATAAAATATGGTTATTTATTTCAGTTTTCACTATGGGTGTTTCCGCAAATTAAAACATGAGGGAACAGTTTAAATGTATTTGGTGTGTGTGTGTGTGTGTGTGTGTGTATATATATA